TTTATGTCTGACAAGCAAAAGGGTTTGGTAGAGTCCATTGACACTCTCTTACCTGGGGCTGAGCATAGGTTTTGTGTTCAACACCTCTATGCTAACTTTAAAGCCTCACATAAGGGTTTGGCTCTTAAGAGCTTATTGTGTAAAGCTGCAAGAGCCACAAGAGTTCAGGATTTTCAAAAGGCTATGATTGAGCTGAAACAGAGTGATGTAGATGCATTTGACTGGTTAAATGCTAGACCACCTACAAATTGGTCTAGGTCCCATTTCAGCACACATTCAAAATGTGATTTGCTGCTCAATAATCTCTCTGAAAGTTTTAATGCTCTTATTGTGAGGGCTAGAGCTCAGCCAATCGTCAAGATGTTGAAGATGATAAGATTGACTCTAATGAAGAGAATTCATTCAAAGAGAGATCAAATGAGAAAGCACCATGGGCAATTTTGTCCTAGAATTGAGAAAATGCTTGAAGAATTGAAAAAGAAGAGCATGGAGTTTGTTTGCTATAGGAATGGTGAAGATCAGTTTGAGGTTGAGAGTAGCTCAGGTTCAAAGTCCAGGGTGCACATTGGGGAAAAAAACTTGCTCATGCAGAAAGTGGGAGCTCAGTGGAATTCCTTGTGCACATGCTATCTCAGAAATGTACTACTTGGGTCATACCCCAGAGGATTATGTGGATGAGGCATACAAAAAAGAAACATATCTGAGGGTGTACAGCCACTTAATGGGAACTATAGGTGGATCTGATGAGTGGCCAGAGGTGGAAAACCCACCATTGATTCCACCAATTGTTGGAAAGCTACCTGGGAGGCCCAAAAAATATCAAAGAAGAAAAGGGCAGGATGAAGCAAAAGGAAAAAAGAAAGTGGCAGAACAAACTGGTACTGGTTTCAAACTAAGCAAAAGAGGAGTTGTCATGAAGTGCTCAATTTGCAAGCAACCAAATCACAATTCAAGGGGCTGCCATAAATACCCACTTTCTAGACCCACCAACCAAGGATTGGATGTGCCAGCAGCTACTACAAATGGAAAGTTGCAATACTAATTGATGTTTTTATTGTTTGTTATGTTCTGAATTATGGCACTTCACTTTAGCTTCTAATTATTGTTATGTTCTTACTTGCTTGTCAGGGTAAAAATAAACAAACTGAGACTGAGTCTGTCATTAGTGGAAAAGAAAAGGTACAATGAGGCTATCTCAATCATTAAAATGTCTACTACTTGATATTTTCTGTTCTGAATGATATGTTTTCTTGCTTGCCAGAGAAAGAAAAGAGGTTTTGAAGGTACATTAAGTGGTGTAAATGATTCTGTCATGAATGCTGCAAATGAACTATGTGTGACTGCACCAAATGGAAAAAATAAGAAGGTACATTGTATACTTTATTGTTTTACTGTTCTTTTTTTTATGGCTTATGATTATTGGATCCTGTCACTAATGTTTTCTTGTTTTGAAGATTAAGAAAAAAGGTCTTGAAGGTACAAGTAGTGGTGTAAAGGTGCCTGTGGTTGTCACTAATGCACCTAATGGAGAAGGAAAGGTACAAAATTGTGGTTGTCACATAAAACACATAATATAACTTGTTGTATGTTGTTACTTGTCTAAGTTTGATTATTTATTGTTTCTCAGGGTGCATCTAAATCAAAACTGATCATTTTCATTCAAGAGAAAAGAATGACCAGAAGTAGCACTTGTGGAAATCCTAAGGCCTTTACTCAGCCAATAAGTGCACACCCAAGAAGCTGCAGAAACAATGTTAGATTCTCCACAACCAAGCTACTTGTCACCTCAAGTAAGACCAGTGCAAATGTACCAACTAAAGAACCTCCCCCAAAAAGAGTGACCAGAAGTACTTTCTCTCTCTAAAAAAAAAGACACCAGAAGTCACCAAAAGCCCCAAAAATAGCAGATCAATGTAATAGAAACAGTCCTATGTATGAGTGGTGTGATTTTCCAAACTTTGTTTTTGTACTTTTGATACATTTGTGGTGATTGTTCTCAGACTGATGAGAATTGTGATCTTTTGATCTTGATACAGTGTTGGTGTTTGTTATGATGACATAATAGTGATGTTTTGGTTTTGATACAATGGCATTTGATATAATGGCATCTGTGATGGTCTTCAGATTAATAGCAATTTGGAGTTTATTAGTGGCACTTTCATGATGTATGATATTGACAGATTTTTGTGTTAATAGTTCCATTTGATGTTGTTCAGTCATGTTTGTGTAGGTTTTGGATACTTTCTTTTTAGGCAATCATAATCTTTGACAGATTCTTGTTCAATCATTTTTGTCTCCTCTTGTTAGGCAATCATGTTTGATAGATTCTTGTTCAATTATGTGAACATGTTCAATTACTTCACAAATTGCAAACATATGTGTTTGAACCATTTCAAGAACCCTTATAATACCAAAATTCAATAACATTTATTGAACAAACCATTTGGAGAACCTTACAATACCAAAATCCAACACATTCACAACACAAACCACTTCATAGTTCACTTGACAACTTAACCACACCAAAACAAAGATAACAAGTCTAACACCATAACAACTTCACCCAAATCAAAATACATAAGTAAACCTGATTAATATGCCTACTTCTTAAGAAGGAAAAACATAACGATCCATGAAATAACAAAAGCACACAACAACACCTTCACCCTTTTTTTCTTGCTTGCCAATTCAGCTTCAGCCACATTAATGCGTCTTAAAAGTCCAGGTATAATTTGTCGAGCTCTTGTACACATTGGAGGGTTGATCCACACAAAATGCTTGCAACCATTCTTTAACAAATCAAGTCAATGTAAAATCAAAAAATCAAGAACAATCAATCTACTTGCCTCTGAATTTAAAAAAAAAATATATATATATACAATGAAATGAACATTGAATCGGTTTCAACCAACTTACCTATCCGGTTTTACGTCCTCTGCACGTTGCATATCGCCGTCCCGGGTTGCTATCTGTCCACGACGTCACCATCACCGTCCTCTTTCCACAAACACAATACTCATCCAAGGTGACCTCCGAAGTCTGGTTCCACATTTTCTCCTTCTTTTCTTTGGCGTAGCACTAACTAAACTGGGAAAATTACACTTTCAGCAATTGGGGATTAGGGTTTGTTCTTCAAAAAATAGGATTTGGGGGTTTTATAGAGAGGGTCGATAGTTTTTGTATGTTAAATGACAACTTTGTCCAAATTTAATAACTGAAAGGTCGATTTTGCCCTTCTCTTTTGAAGTCCGATGGTCGGAAGTCGCATAGTGAAAGGAATTCCGTAAGTTCGAGTGGGAAAGTGTCGCCGGAAAAAGATCGGTGGGCAAAGTACAAATCAGCGAATAGTTCGGTAGGTAAAGTGTAATTTTCCCTAAATTTTAATAAATATTATTATTTTTTATTATTATAAAGTTGAATATAATTTATTTATTTTATATATACAATACAAATGTCAAAGCGAAGATCATGAAAAGATGATTAATTTGATATATTATATATGAAACCGATAATAAATACAAAAGTTATCAACTTTTAAAATACATTTATAATTCAATAGCTAATTGAAAGAAACAAATCAAAAGTCAGGATATATTAGTCACTTAGTGTCTCACTATGTAAAATTACAAAGAATTAAAGGGTTATATTAGTACAAGTGATATTACAATACCTAAGTTGACTAAATAATATTTATGGAATGTCTGACCCTAGATTATTAATTATTAATATATCAATATTATTTGTCCAAACCTAATTACGAAGCATAATTATTCGCCAAGTAGGATTTCGAAACAACAGAAACAGCCACATAAGCTCAGCGCATTCGGGAATTATATATAGGGAGGATATTGAGGATAATTGAGTTAAGTTAAAGTTTAATTAGATTTTGAGTATGAATTGAATATGAACGATATTTTTTCATATATACAATTACAAACACACCCTTGTTGTGATTTGTTAATCTAATCAATGATGTAATTTCTAAATTAACAAACCACACATTTTATTAGATCACAAGTTTATGTTACTTAGGATGATTCTATGTTTCTTCATAAATGAATCATTTGCAATCATACCCTAATTTACTAATTAGTACCTACTT